CACCAGCTCTTCTCAATGGCTTCTGGGGAGCGCTCTCCAGCCCATGGGGATGTCAAGGTTATCTTTTGCAGCTTGGCCCAAGCTTCATCCTCCGTGTCCGCCTTCCCGTTCAGGAGAGACATGAGAGCTACCTGCTCCCGCCGCTGGTACACCAGGGCCTCAGCAAAATCCCGCTCGTCCCTGATGTGGGAAGATTTCCTTCATAAGATGCCCTCCACACCACAAAGAAGCCCTCTCAGGGAACTCAAGAGGGTTTCTCCCTCCTGAGATGGGTCTTCTCCAACCTTCAGATCCCTCCCCTAAGTCCATGCAGTCCAGGGCCCACCACTGACATTAGCAAAGCCAAGATTAAACTGCCCCTCAAGTCCTGTGACACTTCCCACAACCCTGCGCTCTCCTCCATGGAGGCCTGACACCCCATCCTGACCTTACCTAGACCTCCCTTTATGGAATACTTAAATATTCTCTCTCTTCCAGGGAAACCTTGCCTCTGCTTTGTTTGATATCCCCTCATAGGACTATAAAAATGTATGTCTTGACAGGAGCATAGAAGCCACAAGGACTCTGTGAGTTCCTGGCAAACTCCTACTCACATATCAAAACCCAACTCTAAAATCTCTTCTCCTCTGTAGCCTTCCTTACTTAATTCACCCAATCAGGTGACTGTCCTCTGTCATCCCTGTTCTTAATAGTCCCATCACCTATCACATAGAATAGCAGCCATGAGTTTGCATGTCCATCTCCCCAAGTGGAATGTAAGTTCTCAGAAACAAGAACGGCCTGGATTGTTTTGGATCTCTAGAACCTAGCACAGGGTCTGGCAACTAACAGGGCCTCAATGAATATTTTTTTGAATGACCCAAAATTATCCGAGACTTGTTCAGGAATAAGGGTGGAACATGGGTGGAGGAGAAACCTGCAGAGGAAAGAACAAGTAACAAGCAGCCTGTCTTCCCCATGACTCAAAGAAAAAACACAGTGTCTGTTCAGGACCAGAGCCCTGGGCACTCTCCTGCCAGGGCCCTCTGGCCACATAGAAATGGCCCCTGCAGGGAAGCCAGCCCTGGCAAATCTGAACCTGGCTCCGGGGCAGGGTTCCATCTAAGGACTTGGGTTTTTATACTTTCCTCTGGTTTCTACTGCTCAATCTTTTAGCGGGGCTGTGCTAGAATAGAGCTTCAGGCTCCTAGGCCACAGCTGCCCCCTGCAGAATCAAGTTGCCTGCAGGTCCCAAGCCTTTGGCCTTCTCCGGCCCTTCCTGAATTTGCCCAGCACCACCCAACCCAGGTAAGGCTGCCTGGGCCCTGGGAAGGTTCCCAGCATCCCTCTCCTTGGGCCAGAGGAGACGAGGTGGGCCATGATAACTCACTGCATCTCTGGATGGGCCTTCTGGGAGGCGTCTATGGAGCCATCCTCTTTCTTTAAGCGTTTGTGGAGTTCATGATCACCAACCACCTGGACATCCTGAAGCCTTTCCCAAAGACTCAGGCCAAATGTCCCTGTGATTTAACCAGACCCAGAGTAGTAACAAGGACTGGCCTAGCCTGCTCCTCAGAACCCTCTGCCCCTCACCCTCCATTCTCAAGAGTCAGTCAGCAACCCCTTACCCCTGGCCCATACTTCATGATGCCCACCATAC